TTTTTTTTTATTTCAAAAATGTAAACATCACTATCTTGTAATAAGTAATAGCTCCATTAATTCGTAAAAACGGAAGAAACTACGTACGTACACTACCCAAGACAAAGTTTCCTAGGCAAAAAAGAAGATATTTTAACATTACAAAAATTGTGATGTTTACATTTTTGAAAAATTTTTATCAAATGACACAAAAAGTAAAAATTACTTCCATAAGAAAAAACAAACTTGATGATGGTTAACCGGAAACAAAACGTCGGATTTAAAATTTAAATCTAGAATCTTGAACAGGGAAAAAAGTGGCCATAATAATGTGTGATTTTTTCAAAATAGGTATATCTTTTTATATAACTTCACTTTCCGGGATATCTCTGAAAGTAATCGAAATTTTTCAGTTTCAAAATGGCATTTTGTTAAGCATCAAAATACACAAGCTTGCCAAAGTTGGTGCCCCCCCCCATACCTAAGTCTAATTTACATTTGGCGGAAAGTACTTTCGGCCAGTAAACTTGCCAAGTGCAAATGAGCGGAGTGCACTTGTCAGTCACTTGCTACTTGCCCGCAAGCGGCAAGGGAAGTTGAGGGCCCATTTTAGTGGCCGACTTGCCTGTCTGGACTGTCAAATTTCTGTCAAATTTATGTAGTTTCAGTGTAGTTTCTGCATGTAAATAGAGTGAGAAAGTTAGTTTTCCGGAACAATAATGTGGAACAGTGACCAAATATAAGGTTTTTAAATGTGTATGAGAAATATGAGGTACTTTTGGACAAGGAGACCATACGCATAACCTAAAACGGGACAATTCGTTCGAACAACGAGAAACGGAAAACATTCTGTGTACTGATATTAGTCCAGGCAAATTGGACTTTTTCCAAAGAAAATCGTTAATGGAGCTTTGCCAAGTGGATATGTTAAAAATTGTCTATAAAAAATACAAAGAAAAATAAATACGTGAACAGGGGAGTGGGACTAAGTTTTTAGGGAACGTGGAAAGGGGTGAAAATCTATTGTAAACATAACGGTCATTCCGCTTTCAACAATTCCAGTATAGTATTTTTCAGCACACAACACTATTTAATTTGAATGTTTCTTAATAATATCTACTACAAAGTCTCTTTTCAAACAATGAAATGCAGTTTCTTTTGTATTTTTTTCCCGTAGAATCAAATGCTGAAATCAATTTTTGACCAATTTCCAAAATTTTAACAAAATATCAACCTTTACTAGAAAATTCAATGTTGCTGAAGTGGTTTTTGGAGCCTTTTCGTTTCTTGAGCTTCTTTAATAAAGACTATAATATTTTTTATTTCATCAAAAAGTATAGATAAAAACGAAGAGAATGACACCAAATCGAACTTCCTGAAGTACAATTTTTATTTGAAGGAAAATGTTTTTTGCCGAAAAAAACGCATGTTATTCGGAAACCTCTTAATTTTTATATTGAAAAAAATTGTAGTTATTTGAATCATAAAATAGTACCTATATTTCAACCAAGTCTCGTTAAAAGAAAATCATTATCGCGGAAATGAACAATAAAAAACAAGGTTTTCCGCGATTTTTTCGGTTATTTTGAGGTGTTGTGAGTTTTTCACGATCTACATTTCCATTGAACACTTTTGCCTCTAATCTCAACTTTTGCCGGAAATTGCAGTCATACGATTTTCACCCATTTTCATCCTCCCCAAAAACCTACTCCCATTCCCCTGCTCACGTACTTTTTTGTATTTGTTATAGACCATTTAACATATCCACTTGGTAAAGCTCCATTAACAATTTTCTTTTGTAAAAAGTCCAATTTGTCTTAAATAATGATGTCGGTAGGTACACCGCATGTTTTCTGTTTCTGTCACTTCTTTTAATAGTTGTTCGAACGCATTGTCCCGTTTTAGCTTATTCGTGTCGTCTCCTTTTCTTAGTTCCCAAAGTACCTCATATTTATCATACACATTTAAAAACTTCTTCATTTGGTCACTGTTCCACTTCATTGTTCTATGCAGCAACTACACTGAAACTGTAGTGCAGTATGTGGGGTTTTTTTGAATGCAAAAGGTAGGGTAGTAGCGATTTTTTAGTATGTTGTTAAGCTTGGGGCCCTAATGAAAAATTTTGGAATAATAGAATAATGGAATAATAGAACTTTTGTCCTCTTTAACTTTGTATATAACATCTTTTGTCGTTTTTGAGTTATTATCAAAAAAACCAAATTTTTGTACCTAAAATCCAAGATGGCGGTTCGAGAGCATGCGCCTCGAAGTGGAAAACCTGGATTTTTCATTATTAGGGCCCCAAGCCTAACAGCATACAAAAAAATCGTTACTAGCCCACTTTTTGCATTCAAACACCCCTTTTTGATACCCACGTACTGGACTACTACATAAATTTGACAGTCCACACAGGCCACCAAACTAGCCAGGTTCTCAACTGGCAAGTGCACTTTCCTCTCAATTACACTTGGCAACTTTACTAGCAAAAGTACTACCCGCCAGTAAACTTGCCAAATGTAAATTAGGATTAAGGTAATGGGCGGAAAGTGCAGTTGCCAGTTAAAAAGAAATTCGGTAGCAAGTTTACTGGCAGAAAGTACTTACTTTCCGCCAGTAAACTTGCCAAATGTAAAGATAAGCTGCCAATTACATATGACATTTATATGACATTTGGACTCCGCCTATACGTCTTACGTCATAAAAGCTCATTATACTTTCGGTATATGAAACGAAATTAACTTAAACTATATAGGTAGGTATATTTCATTATTTGGCACCAAACGCCATCGTATAATCGGATATCCGATGCATGTAAATTGAAACAATACTTCGTCCGAAACTAATTTCCGATTCATATGTGGAACATTGAATACCGGATTGTATGTGGTTTCGCCTTTAAGTAGGAGAAAATTCAGAAATCAGAAATCTGTATTGGCGCTTTTTAACAAATGCATTAAAGAGAGATCGTTGTTTTTCCGTTTCTAGTTTACCAATGTTCGAAAACTGTACCATCCCTGAAACTGTGACAAGCTTTAGATATTTGCATCTACGAACATAATGAAAGAATCTCAATTTGAATGAAATTGAGCCGACGACGTTATTTCTGTCAAAAATGAAATAAGCTGCCTCAAATCGAAAAAGAAATGAATTATTGTCATTCTCCACTTATAACTACTGCTCAGATTGCAGAACAACGCTCCTTGCCATCACGACCCAGGCAAGGAAATGAAATTATAATAAATTCAAATTACACGCCCAAGACCGAAAATTTAATATCCAAAACTGAAATTCCACTTAACTCCATTATGTGTTTGGATGGAAACTCGTGTAACAATATTCGCGATAATATAGGTAGGTACCTAATTTAACCTGATTTTGTTTGCGCAAGCAGCTTATGCGGAGCTGTTCATTTACCCCTTCGGTAAACACTCTTTGACTACATCGTAGATTAAAGGTTTGCGTCCGAATTCGGTCTCTCTACGTCGATGATAGTGTAATTCGATTAGATCAGGTAATTTAATTACAATCGTGTTTGTTCCAATTCCTTCTCAAACTTTCTTTCTGAAAATGTCAATATATAAATGGAAGAGAGAAATAAAGTAAAGTTCTTATGATGGAAGTTATAAATACGGAGCGTGAAATTTTATTTTTCGACGCTCTTTCGTAATTTGCTTATCTCGATCTAAAATTTTTTTGTCGGCAGCGAACAATGGTCTGACTTGATAGTTAAAAGGGCGAAATTACCAAATTGTTTGAGATTTTTTCTCTGGTCAATCCAATGGTCTAACTCCACACATTTTGGCTATAAATTCTATCTGAGGAGGGTGTTTAATCTCGGTATGAGATTAAGATAGTTTTGGGGTAGATTGTAAGGCGGCACCCGTCACTGTGCCAAATTGTAGACCTGGAACCTTACACCCCAAATGAGTAAGAACAGCCTAAGCTATAATACTGGTTTATTCATAATATTTACACGTTTATATACAAAATTATTGTCCTAGTTCTACCATTTGTTTACCTAGCTCAGCGATACTATTATTCTATTATTTGCATTTTCATGCCTTACTCAATTGACCTGCTTTATATCTATGCATAATAATGATGTCTTAATACCTACTTGTTACATGAATTGCTTAATTAATATTGTTTAATTCTAGATTAATCCCAGATTAATCTGTGATTGAACAGAGGGTGATTAATGCTTTATTTACTGAATTGGATGGAAGGTAGTTTGATGTACTTACATATACGTGTTGACAATTGAAAATAGACATGCTCTCAACTCAACTCAATTATAAATTCAATCTGAAAGGATTCGCTTGTAATACGATTAAACTACTCTCGAATTAAGCTAACACACCTGGACCCAAATTTAGCTGTGGTACAAATGATGCATTAACAAAATAAACTAGAGAAAGAGAAAAAAGCCTATGTTTAAGGTAGTCCTGCCAAGGGTCATCTTCGACCATAAGTTACGCTTAACTTTTTACAAATAGAACTAAGTAGAGTTCCTGTTGCGATTCAGAAAAATTCCAGAACTTTATAGTAGGCTACTCTATGGATATCGCAATATAATAACAAGAAAAGTTAGATAACCTACTATAGGGCGGCGTATGCACAGCAATGGGTCACGTGTGCTCGAGGGTTTTCGATAATTCACTGCAGCACTGCTTAATTTTTGCCGAGCCACCCTGACCAATAATTGAAGCGTTTGATTAATTTTTGCATTTTAAAAATGCAAAGGCCGCATACAATGCCGAGTCAAGGGACCAATACGTCTGTGGTACAAAATAATGAAGGTATGTGCCAAAATAAATTTTTTGGGGTGAAAAGTGAAGGAAACTAATGAGCGTATCCAATTATGATTCATAAATTGCAGTATTCGACTGGCAGATGACGTGTTTTAAATTGGTAATATTTCTGGCAAGTGGGATAATATCACATGGAAACCAAACAGCAGATTAGTTCGGTGAGTACGTTCCGAATATTTTATTAGAAACTCTTATCTTGTTTAGGTGTTTCAGTTTGGTGGCGTGATAAATGCGACAAACTAGTCAGGTAACAAATTCGGCATTCAGTTGCGTTATCAGTGGAGGGAATAACATATGCTCGGACAGTTTCTAATTGTATGTGAAAAGTTGTGCATCATTTAGTCCGTCGTTGAATTTATTTACCAAACGAATAATCAAATTTGATCAGGTAAGCCCGAAATTGATATAGGTACTTCTAGTCTTGAAATTGTTTATTATACTCGTAATTTCTGTCTTTTTTGCTGTTCTAAATTTGCTATTTTGGGAGCATTTTTCAAAATTGTTTCCAGCTTGCTACACAGCTCCTGTGTGAACGACAATCTATACATTCTATTAATTTATTTTTGGTTCAAAAGGTGTTAAATTTAATGAATTCACGTTAATGTGGTTTGAGAGACTTTTGGAAAATGCTTTAGTCGTTACGTGCTGATATGAGCAGCGAGGCTAATGACGCATGCTGCGCCTTTTTGAAAGTGCATTCTAGTAATTGTGAAGAAGGAGTATGGTTTTATTGTATGACGAACTGAAATGCAAAATTAGGGTCGTTGAATCCTGTTCATTTCTAAAATATCTTCGCTTTATGTTTACTTTACTGTACCTATACAGTATACATGCTTTAAAATGGGCCCATTACCGTGTGGAATACGGAAATAGAAATTTTGGATTTGCTAAGTAGTTCACTTTGTCAAAACGCTCTTTTCTTTAATAGAAATAAAAAAATGTACGACTGAGCACATTATTGTAAAGCACCGCACTCGATTTTGGGTCAAATTGTAATAGGAAAGAAATATCTACCCCAAAAATGATGTGTAACACGTCTCCTTGGGGGTGACATTTGTTTCCAGATTTTATCACAGCTTTATATACTGACTCATGCGGTCATTTCCTTCCTAGGCGGCCAAAGCAACAATATTCAAATTAATTAATTTGACAGCCAGATCTTCGTTTTAAGAAGTTATTTTAATTGCATAAAATTAGGCGCCCTTCAGAAGAGATTTGTCATTTATAAGTAGACATAGGGAAAAATAATACACGTAAATCCCTATGTCTACTTAATGAATATCACGGTATACATCTATAACTACAACATAACAATACAACTATAACAAGAGAAATAAACAATTATCATACATAACAACCATATAAATATTGATATCTACATACTATAAAAATCGAGATAAAGATAGTTATTTTATTACACAAGACGATAAAGGGCTATTTTAATCATTGAGGGAAAGATGTTAATTCACCAGATGGTTAAATTCCCTTTATGGCTGTGTATAATAACCAAACTTTATTTTAGACGACAAAAATAGCAAGCTTAGGTTCTCATTCTCATTCAAACCTATTAAAATGTCACTGTAACATATGCTATAAAATATGCTTCTAATAATAAAGTGTGTACCTGAAATCCCAAGCCTCTCTGAAATAGTCCACAAGTTCCCTAATTTTTTCTTGCAATTCTATTTTTTCTCGTCGCCCCCCCTATAAAGTGCAGGGCGCCCTCTCCTCTCCAAGGTAGCACATTGAGCAGAGCTTTCTGCCATCCGCTCTTCCTGGTCTGTCATTCAAATATAGCGCACCGCACCTTAACTTAAACATCCACCGAATATCCGTAAAAGTATTCCCATTTGTCATACACGCTACATCCCCTACCCCCGCCCGTAAAGATCTCAACATACTGATTACAGACGGACGACTCCCTAGCTCTCTTTTCAACCTCCTCCCTGATTTGGTTGCAATCGGTTCAGGCATGTAGCCGGAAATAAGAGTTTGATACAATTGCGCATGCAGCTCCTCTGTTATTTCTTATTTGTAATTTGTTTTAGGAGTCACCGAAGAATACCAGCTTTAGGGTGAGTGTTTTTGTTTACCTAGGCTTTTTATTTTATCTCCTGAAATTATCACATTTCGGCGATAATCCATGCTAATAAGGTAATAAAACAAATAAAATTGTCCTAAATTATAACTTTGTAATTAATGCTTTCTTTTATGGCAGGTAACAAACAGGTTCAACTGCATGGAAAAAGATATCATTTTGGGTTCTGCAACTTCAGTGTTTAGGGCTTCCTTTTCAGAGTCAAGAAGCGTTCAAAACTACGGAAGTGGCGTGATTACAGAGTGAGTTTTTTGAACCGACAAATTGAGGCTGAGCTTGCCTTAAGCGTAGCTTACAATCCATGGCAGTCTATGTCACAATAGGCGTTACCATCAGTTACGCTTAAGCTAAAGTCTGTAATAGTGGAGCTGTAAACCTCGAAAGAACTACGAGTATAACACTTTTCAAAATGTTTAATTAATCTTGCACTTTTCAAAACTTCTAATGGTCCATTAAATCTAGTCTGCGAGCCATTGTAATTTTTTCCTCATTTAAACGGTTATTTTTAGAAAATGAACGTGGTTTAAGAGCTACTCGACATGATGTTCCTAAATTCTCCGTTGTTCCTAGTACAAGAAAAACAAGCATTCGTATGCTAAAGTCAAGAAGCAAAACTTAAGTTTACCTTCAAAAAATACTCGCGTATTTCCAGCACTCCACACTGTTATTTTCTAATTACTTATGTTACAGCTCTTTTAGTTGAATTTTGGAAATGTTGTATGGAAAATCATTGCGACAAGACGGTATTCTATAATGGACTTCATCATTCTATGCTTGTAAATAAATTCTTTTTAGCTAAATTGTTTTAATCAATGTTAACTATCAGTAGTAACTACTAACCATAAATGAGACCCTTTTTTTTTAGTTAGTACCTACTGAAATGCTTGATCATCTTGTGATTGCACAGAAAAGGATAAGTGCGTACCCATATCAATACAACTTTATTTTACACAATTTTCTCCTTTCTAGGTTTAAGTGGATAAACTGCAGATTTCTTTAAAAAAAGGGAAAGAAAGAAAAAAGGTTCGTACAGAAACAACGTAAGTGTTCTCCAGTGTACTCCGTCTCGTCTTTGAATATACAAAGGTCTCGTACTTACTGTTAACAAACACAAAATTTGTGTTAAACATCAAAATCTTAAAATTGCGACAATAATCTATATTAAAAGGTGTCTAGTATTAACTAATAAAGTCCTTCTCTATTTGTATAGAATAAATGGATCAGATCTACATGGCCAGCGTGTAAATGTTCGTGCCATTGTTTAATGGTCGCCAAATGGACGCGATGTGACACCATTTGAACTACGTGCGGACCCCTTCAAGAACCTCGAACTATTCCTCGTAATAAACTCGATGAAGTAAGTGCCTTTTTAGCTTCCTAGCGCGAGCTAGGTGGTTATTACGATCACCGTTTTTTTAGACATATTAAAATTTCATCAAATGTCGACATTTTGAGCAACTTTTAAAGAATAGATTTTTTTCCGTCTGTATGTATTGTACGAGGTATTTTCTGAGGTAACGGCTCGACGGATTGTTTTCAAATTTTGTATATTGTGTATATTAGGCATACGGCCGGATTTTTAAAAAAAGAAAAAATTTGGAGCGCCGCAACGGTATCGAACCTTTTTTTCGAATAGCAACCTCAAATTTTTAAGTTATTCGAAAGACCTTTTTTTCTGCAACCTACAACCTACAAAAATTGTAGCAGGTTTTATTTCAAGAAATTAAAAAAAAATATGTCAAAGTTAAAAAACAAATATATCTTTCTTCTGTCCAAGGGTTACTTTGATTTTGTAAAAAATTAGGCAGTGTACATTAGACATAAAGGATGTAAAACTGTCAACAACTTTTTTTTAAATATGAGTTTTTAACTTCGTGACGTCATATGACTGTTTTTTGTAATAGTAATTGTTTATTAACGAGAAAAGTTTTCGAGTTGTTACCCATTCAAATACGAGTATTAACCGGAAGCAACGTTGCTTGACTGTAGATAATAAATGAATCATTAGTAACAAACACATACAAAGGTAAAAAGGGCGCGTGAAGTCGTAACACAACAACGTGGAGCCCGAGATATTTGCGAAAGAACGTGTCATAAAAAATTATCGGCTATCGCGAACTAATTCCTCTAAAAAGCATGATGCGGGTCACTCCGTAATTGGGCGCAAGCCTGTTGAGGGCCCAGAACAAGAGAAGGATAATAAATAAATACAAAAATTAAAAAAAATTAGAATTATTAATTTAATAAGAAACAAACTTTGTTTTGTGTGAATATAACAATGGAATTCGGATTAAATGAAAATAAATAGCGGGTTATACCGTTAACATTTTACAAGCATTTTTTGCTAGCATAGATATCAGTTTCAAGGGATGATTTATTATGGTTTAACTTCATAACACGAATTGGGGTGTAACCGAGGGTGTAGCGGTAATTTCTTTTGTGAGTTGCAACCATCAGTTCCGTAATCTCATATTTCACTCTATGCTATTTAATTAATTGATATGCAGGGTGTCCCATTTATCTTGGCATACTCGATTACTGCGCAAAGTAGCGGGGATATCAAAAAATAATTTACATAAGATTTTCACCATACGGAGAGGTCCATTTAACGATGCTGGGCACATTTTGACATAACTGTCCCTTAAGGGTCAAGTGTAGCTTAAGGGTCAAGTGTAGGGCAACTAACTTTTTCAAATGGAAACCTATACTTTTTATTGAATAATCTTATTCTGCATCGGGAAAAAAAGTTTCGTTTGGTGTGAGCTAGAAAGCTGTTCTGTCAAGAATTTTAATTTTTTTCTTCTTCATTCTCTGCTTCTTGTAATAGTATAATACCTACGGAGCAGCCCATCATACATTTATTATTCATATTGATTTTGTGTTAAACGAGTTAAGTAAATCATTTGTGCCCAGGTCCCTCCCTTTACTCTAGTACCCACTTTTGCATATAACAATTTTATTTAGAAGGCATATTATTTTCATATAGTATGTACTCGTAGCGTAATAAAAATCCGTAAGAACAGAGATATGGCTATGCAAAGAAATATAAAAAAGAGCACGTTAATTCGGCTTATAAACAGCACAGATTTTTCCTTTTGATTTAATTAAGATTGGCAAGAAACGAGAGACTGTAAATTGAATTTGTCCTTTTTGTGCGAAGCGACAATTTAAATTACTAGTATCTGTATCGTCTGTATATACTTTTGACGTGATGAAAACTACTGTGGCTCTTGAACTTTAAAAAGTAAAACAGAAACACCAATAAACCACAATAATATATTAAATCCTCGAACGCGTTTCGACAATAACGCGGTCATCATCAGCGAACAACTGAACAATAAAATAGAATACGACCCTATTTATACTAATTACATGTGAAAATGCGGCAGCGCTAGTTTTAACCCTACCACTATTTAATAAGTGAGCCGTGTGCTCTTTAAACCGATTTTTTAAGAAACTGTTTGCCCAATATATACTTGATTACAATTTTTACAACTTATTTTGCATATTCCCGACTTATCCTTCACAAATACGCGATCTTTAGGCTTGTCTAAAAGTTTTTGTATACTGCAGTAACAGCTTGCAAATAATTTGACTCACCCAAACACGAAATATTTAGTTCGAGGCTAATATAACAGATTTTATCAATCGCCTAATCGCACAAATTCCAGAGAAAGGTAGCATCTGTTAGAAGAAATGACATATTCGATTTACTATTTGCCCATCCAAGTATGTAAATGGCAATGCAAAATGGACAACTTCCATATTTAAGGATCCACTAAGTGTTTCTAATATTTTACGCATTCTATCGATTTTTCAAATTTTTCTTATTCCGTGGATTTTCCAGATCCTTTGAGTGCTTCGGATGCGTCGCATTCTGCAGCTTTTTTGAGTTTTCTGCAATTTTTTAGTTTCTTCAAATTATTTCGAAATTCGTTTAAAACCTTTCATTTCTTCGGATTCGTTGCGTTTTTTACCTTTCAAATATTTCAATATTTTTCATTTTTTATAGTAATGCTGTACATTTGTAGAATGTACATTCTTTCGAGACTTCGGTTAAATATCTGTAGATTCCTTGAAATTCTCGCCTGCTTTAGATCAATTAAATTCTTCTGATTCTTTCGTTTCTTTATTTTTTTCTTTTCATCCCTTTCTCGACAATACTTAAATTTTCTTTGTTTTTCTCTTTTTTTATAACGAGAGCATTTATTTGAGATAAATTTTTTGCGTTTTCTCCTGCGAATTATGTGGAAGTATAATTTCGAAAAAGAGTCAAGGTTTCAAAAACCTTCTCTCAAACAAATATTACTCATGGTAAGTTCGAGTTTTCATTTGTCTTGTGTTACTTCTACGATTCATCGCATTAAATAAAGCTTGATAAAAAATAAGCTGACATCGTAGAATTCGAAAGTTAAGACAGCCCGGGCAGCAGGTTGAACTAATGATAATTAATAAAATACCGCCCTTCGAGTAATTTTTAAATAATACAGTTTCTTATTGTTGAAATTTCCAGTGTTATAATAACCAAAGGAAATTCTCAACCCTATTTTCAGAAAAGACCCGCTGCAAAAATGTCACCCAATAACGGAGCTTTAGCCTAGGCTCCGCGTCATTTTCGAACTCGTCCTATAATCCAGGTTCTTTGTATTATTCAGATGTCAGATTCTTTAAAATCTTTCATTTCTTCGGATTCATCCTATTCTTCTTACTAATCCCGTTCCTTACATTTTCTTGCACGTTCGAATATATCTAAACGAAAACCCAAGTGCGTGTGTTAATGTTCTTACAAAAACTCAATTATGTTCAGTTTGCTTTTTATTGTACCTACATTTACGTTATAGCTGAAAGCTCAATAATATGTCTATCAATTTTATTACTTACATTCACTTGAATGAAAGCTACTATACGTGCGCTGCCGTAGATTTTGTTTCATTTGACCAAGAGAGCAAAAGTAATCAACCTAAACTACGACAATTCCTTATGGATGAGTCTTTTATTAGAGTTTAACGAGTAGTCGGGGTCGGAGACTAACCGACTGTTAATATTTCAGATAATTTTAGAGCACTTACTACTTCTTTAAAGTTAGCGAAGCATTGGTTTTAGATACTGCGGTCTAAAGCCGTTTTCTTATATTTTCTTATATTTTAAAGATCCACACTCTGCTTTAATTCAAGATTTAATATTGACAAAAAGAACTGAATGTTACGTTGGCTGTTTATTCTTTACGAAAGTGACGAAACTAATCTGCATAGAATCATGTTTAATGTATAAAACGGAAGGGAAGAGACTTTTTAGCTAAGCGTTTTTGCAGTCCTTTAAGCATAGTGGAATTACGACCCCTACAGCAAACCATTTTTATGTGCTGCTTAAATATAGGCATACACGTTGACAAACTTCCTAGCGACAAAGCAAGTACTTTTCACCAGTAAACCGTCC